GAAAAGTAAGCCAAAACCCCACAAAATAAAGAATCTGAAGTTAAACCTGTTCTCTGACACAACTATCACTGCAAAAAAGTCTCCTGTATCAAAAGCTCTCTTATTTTCTATTCCCTCATGACATGTTGTAAGTTGCAATACAGGACACATTCTTCAGATACAGCTCATTGCATATTTAAGTGGTATCTGCAAATCAAGCGCAAACATGAACCAAAACTGCAAATAACCACAATTTTACAGCTAACCCAGACAGACCATTATCATCTCATGTCCACTTAAACCTGCACTGTTGGACAGGTATTGTGGGAGTTGATTCAGCTTTCAGAGGGTGCTGTTGTGGTGTTTAAGTGTCTTGCTGAAGATGAGACAAATCTGATACCGAGGAAGGAGCAGAAAGCAAGTATCAGTTTCTGCAATATCCTAAGTCATGTCAACATTTATCAACTGGTAACAAAATGGTAACTATACAGTGGATTATGAATGGATTACTTTATTCTTTACCTAGTCTCAGCAATATCCTGTTTCTGTAAGACTCTCCAGCTGATCCTTTGCTCCTGGGAGCCCACTGAGCAAACTTAGAAGACCCAGGCTGTGGACAGGCAAATCATCATTTCAATTCCAGTTCTTTTACACAGTATATATTCTGTCTTTAGTCATTCCCAGGGCTACCATAAAAATCAAAAATCTTGGCTGCCTGTCGCTGTTGAGGCAGGATGGGAATGAGAAGACTGACTCAGAAGGCTGTGAGAGTAAAACTCTGGTTTATTGGTTTATTCAAAATACACCACTCTTTTATACAGAACTTCGTGAGAACCAATTCCACTGGTCCTGAAGTGGAAACAACCTACACCACTGGTGCAGAGTGCTTGACGCACAGTGACAGAACTTAACTATAAACAATGTGAACAACAAGAGAGATAAAGAATTATTCTTTCCCAGGCTTCTGCCTGCTAGAAACTCTCCATTTCTCTCTTTGACTGAATCTGAGACCCACAGCTGCTGAGAATGGAGACTAGCGGAGACTAGCCACAAATCAGTATGCAATAAGCGTACAACTGGCCCCAAAAGAAATCCTAAAGGTTACTGTCTCCTTTGAATTTCCTCAGTACTATTGAGTATTTCCTGACATGTTACCTGTTCTGTGCTCAGATTGCACAGAAGGATGTCTCCAGCTGCTGTAGCAACACACACACTCTCCTGCTCTGGAAGATCTTCAACACCCACGATACAGCCACTTCCATCCTCAGGCAAGAACCCATCCACAGTCAGGGAAACTTCTCTTGATACCTTGACACAGAAAGGCCAATGGATTACTAATTATACATCACCTCTCTGGGATTTTTGCAGAAATGACAATGCAAAAGACATAGGTATATTTCATCATACTGCACTTACACAAAGCACTACACATTAGAAGTGAGTGTGTGAATGGCACCAGGAAAAAAGCCAACTTGAAGTACTTGTCTTTACTTACCCGTAAGATAAGATCCTCTTATGGTAAAAATAATAGAAGAAAATGAGAAAATCCACATGGAAGCAAACAATACACAACTTCCAATTTGCCCTGCTAATCATCTTTCAACACCCTTTTCACAATATCAACATTAAGAGGTGTATGGGTAGCTGCTTAAAGTGTCCCACTGCTCTTAAGGGGGCATGCAGACTACTACACACAGCATAAAAAACAATTTATAAAGAAAATAATTTGTATGGTTAAGGTACAGCAGTCTTTGAAAATTAATCCCTAGAAAAATTAATTTCAGAAGTGAATGTACTGAAAGAATTAGATGCCTCAGAGTTGTACAATAATAAAGCAACCCAGCTCTAACAGGAATTCATGACTCAATAGCATTCTATTTAGCGGTATGTTGGGGTTTCCCCCCCCCCTCCCCCACCAGTGCAACGTTCCCAAAGCTTCCTCTTGTACACTTCACTATCTCATTGCCTGCTTGGTTCTGTTTTGTGAGCCTGTCCGAATGCGACTGTTTGCCAGATCGTGCTTAAGACTAAACCACACGAATGACAAGCGTCTAACACAGCCACACTCCCAAAAAGGAAGATTTAGTATTATAGAAGCACAGAAAGCCTCTTCAACCACGGAGATCACAGTGCAGCGGCTTCCACGGCACCGTGAGACAGCAGCAAGCGGCGGCGGGGAGAAGCAGGAAGGTCCGAGACCGCGCAGACCCCGCGCCAAGGGGCGCAGACCCCGCCGCATAAGGAGACAGGCGAGCTCCTGTCGCAAACGCTTTATTCCAACAACCAAATGCCGACCCCAACACGCCGGCAAGCTCCAGAACCCTGCCCCGCAGCCGCGGCTCTCACCGAATTCCCGGCGGGGCGCATCTCCACGAGCCCGTACTGGGAGCCCACAAGAACCGCGCCAGACTCGGCGCCGAGGCAGAAGCACTGCGGAGTGCCCTTGGCGGCGGTGGAGCGGCACCCACCGGCCCGCAGCAGCCTCAGATTCCTCATGGCAGAGAGAGCGAGCGGGCAGCGGCGGAGGCCGGCAGCGAGGCACGCCAGGCTCCGTGACCGCCTCACGGCGCCGCCATGTCGCGCAGCGCGGGCGGGCGGCGCAGGCGCCGTGCGCGGGCGCCGCTCTCGCAGGGCGGAGCGCGGCCTGTCCCTCCGCCCGCACCGAGCCGCCGGGAGGCGGGGAGTGCGGCGCGGCGAGGCCTCGGGAGCTCAGCTCCTAGCGAGCCTGCACGAATAGCAGAATCACAGAGTCTGGAGGAGAGCTTTAAGGTCACCCAGTCCAACCATTCGCCCGGCACTGCCACTGTAACCCTCAAACCACATCTCCTGATCCAGATGCATAAACAATAAGAGTGGGGGACTCCACCGCCTCCCAGGGAAACCTATTCCAATGCCTGACCACCCTGATAGTGACAATAATTTTTTCTAATATGTAATCTGGATCTCCCATGTCTCAGGTTAAGGCCATTTCCACTTGTCCTCTCACTGCAGGTATGGCAGGAGACACCGACCCCCACCTCACTACACTCTCTTTTCAGGGAGTTTCAGAGAGCAACGGGGTCAGCCCTGAGCCTCCTCTTCAGGAGACTACACAACCCCAGCTCCCTCAGCCAATTATCATAAGACATGTTTTCTGGTCCTTTTGTGAGCCTTATTCCCTTTTCCAAACATGCTCCATCACATCAGTGTCCTTTTTAAAGTGAGCAGCCCAGAACTGGACATGGCACTTGATGTGCAGCCTTGCCAGTGCCCAAGTACAAGATGACAGTGGGAGTAGGATGATTCTTTTGGAGCCATTTGGGCACTAGCCAGCTGAAGCACTCCAGCAGAGGCTTCCAAGGCACTCACAGGCCAGCCTTCACATAGGTTAGTGCTGTCCTGATGCCGCTGCTTCTGTCACACTCTGCCACCTCTCTCCAGATGTGGCTGACGGGGAGAAGGTAGTTCAGCCTTCAGGGGAAAGAAGGACTTCATGCAATCAGTTATACCCTTCACACTTCCCCCCTTTCCTAGTAGAACTAGACTCAGTCAGTCAGTACTGATGATGTTTAAGAAAGACATGGAGCTATTGAAGAAGGTCCAGTGTAGACAAACATGATTTGGGGCCTGGAGCTTCTCTCTTATGAGGAGAGACTGAGGGAGCTGGGCCTGTTCAGTCCAGAAAAGACTGAGAGGGGATCTCATCAATACATCCAAGTATTTCAAGGGCATGTGACAAGAGGATGCCAGATTCTTTTCAGTGATATCCAGTGACAGGATGAGAAGCAATGGCCTTAAACTAAAACACCGGAACTTTCACCTTGACAGAAGGAAGAATGCATTCTACTCTAGGTGATCCTGCCTTGGCAGGGAGTGTTGGACTAGATGGTTTCCAGAGATCTCTTCCAACCCTAACAATTTTGTGATTCTGTGTGATTCTGTGATCCAGCCTACTGGCCAAATACTAAGAAAAAAAATTTTGAGACAAATGGTTTTTGTCTATGGCAATCTGTAAATTTTGCATGCTGTAATCAGATTTTTGTGCTCTACAGTTTGGCAGTTTAGACCAGTGGAAAGATGGGCCACACCTGGACAAGTTTGTTTTCCACTGTTCTAGTACTAAACTTGGCTAAAGTCAGTGATAAAATTCAGTAACACTTTCTAAACTCAGACACAGCTTTTTTGAGACCAGTGGAAAAGACATTGCACACGAGGAAAAGCAAAGCCATCCAGACTCCTTATTTTTGGGACAGAGGCAAAAGAAGTACTTTCCCAGGCCAGTACAGCACCTGCCAAGGCCAGCAGTGCCTAGCTGCACTGGTAGGAGGAAAGGCAGCTGTTAGAGAGCATGTGAACCTGGCTGTGCTGTGCATCTAGTCCCCTGTGCCCCCAGGACCTGCACTGCTTCATTAGGGTAGTCTGACACACCTATTCCTCGCTGTATCTTTCCATACGCTTTTTCCTTTGGTGCAGCTTGTTCCTATCAGTCTCCAGTGTCCCAGCTCACCAATTTACCACTGTTCTAACCCTGTGAAATGTGCTTGACTGAGCTGAGTTGCCCCAGCCGACTGCACAGCCGTACTTCTCACAGCGTCTACATCCACCACCCGGTGGTTTTGTAGCTCTGGAGAGAAGTGCCCTCATGGCAGATGGCACTTGCTGGTCCCGTCTAACCCACGAGCTTGCTCGCTTGCCTTCCGCGGATCGCATCACCCTGATGAATCACTTTCTTCCCGAAACCCGTCTGAAATGCCCTTTATAGTTGTTGCTGTTATTTGACCCACGCCTACAGCAGACATCCCCCGCGCCGCTGCCCTCCTGCTCCGCCGCCGCGTCCCCGCCGCTGTCCCGGGACCGCCGGGCCCCGCCCCGCCGGCGCCGCCGCAGAGCGGCCCGGCAGGAAGCGCGGGGCGGCGGCCACCGCAGGGATTCCGGTATTGGCGGCGGGGGTGCGGGCTCCCGCGCCGCCACTCCGCCTCCCTTCAAACCCCCGAGCGGCGAGCGCTCAGCTGCGCGCTGCTACAAGCGGTGCCAGGCTCGGGCCAGCCCCGTGCCAGGCTCCGGTCGCCGTCGCTGGTACCCGCGCGGTGCAGCTGGGCTGGGAGGCGCTTCTGCGGCGCTGCGGGAGGCACGGGGAGTGGCGGTGGGGACTGCCTTGTGCTGATCTCACCAACAGCTCCGGAAAGGTTTTTGCAGGGTCCACCCTGATCCGTCGGTGTCAGGTTGGTTTTCGGCTAAAGGTATCTTTCAGATAGCCCCCCGGCAGTGTCTGGACCGAAGAAAACCTGTTTCTGTTGCATTTGGTGGAGGCTGTAGGTACCTGCTTGGTGGTGCTTGCAGCAATAGCTCCATGCCAGGAGACGGTGACTTCAGGAGCTCCTCTCGACTTCCCTTAAGGAGGTGAGATCTTGTCTAGAGGTCTTTGAATGCAGGTCTGGCATGATTCCTTATAACTTGGTTCTTGAACCTAATGCTCACTAAATAACCCAAAATACTTGCTTGGTCCTGTTTATAGTGTGGACCCATGGACCATCACGCTGGCAAGAAGTGTGATGGAATCTGCAGAGGGTACAGAAGATAATTGTACTGATACTAACGTAAAACTCCCAGGGTCTGTTTGGGAAAGTTGAAAGTGTTTGTTCCTCCTGATTGTATTTCCTTTGTGACAAGGAGTGCTTACATGACTGGATATGTCCATGACATGGCACTTGGTGCTATAGTCTCGTTGAGGTGTTAGGGCATAGGTTGGACTTGAACGCAGAGGTCTCTTCCAACCTCGTTATTTGTGATTCTGTGACTGTTGTTGGCATTTGTGAATGTGTTTAGCACCATGATCCACAGTGTCATGGGAGTTAATTAAAAGAATTTAAATAGCTTTTCACAGAGTGAACATTATTGATAGATGTCTGTAAAGCTAATGTGGGAACAGGAGGGGGCAGCAATAAACACGATGGGGCTTAGCTAGGAAGCATAAACCTTCTTTCAGTTATGAGGACAAGTTGTTCCTAAGAGCAGAGGAAAAAGATCAGCTTGAGAAACATCTCAGTGTGCTCCATTGTATTATCTCATTGACATGAGATACATTAATATGAGCCGTACAGCTGGATGTTGTGTTGAATAATTTTGTGTCTGCAGCTGGTTTCACACTAACTTAACACTGCAGCAATTTATTTGCTCACATATTTGCTTCAGCTATGTTAGGGTCTGGAACTGAAATTTCAAAAAATGCAAGAAGTTATTTATAGATACTTTTCTGGAGAGTTGTTTGCTTTCTTTATACAGGAGCTGTGGGTATCTGCTGCTCTAAGCAAAAAATCACATCTGTCATATGGTTAAGCACTTGAAAAAGTGCTTGGAAACATGGCAAAATTGTCATCCTTGCATAAGGACAAATTTACTTGAATGTGGGCCTGTGAAGCTGGCTACAGCTTTTATGTCTGAGAAATAAGTTGAACTTGAGATTTACAAAGATCTCTTCCAGCCTGAGTTTTATCTTTTGCTTTTACACTTCTGGGACCCAGGTGGTTACTTTGGTCACTAAGGCAACCAAGTCTCTTTTGCAATGACCACAGAATTACTTTCTCTGGTGCATAATCCATCATATGAATCTTTCCTACTGGATGAAGAACTAACATGTAATATGGAGGCATTTTAACAATTATAGTCAGCTGACACAAATTATTCATAAGGATGCTGCATAATGCTGGATTTTTCTCCAGATGCCATGGTTTAAAATACTAGTTGAACATTCAGTGCAAATACCAGAACACACTTACCTGCAATTCCTTGACTTATGTGCCTACCCCCAGAGCCATGTTTTCTGCAGCTGTTCCCTAACATTAAGTACGGAATGCCCTGGTCATTGCTATTGATTTGTTATGCCCACAGGCTGTACTTCTTTTTTCCACAAGAGATTATGGTACTGTTTCTTGGCTGCTAGTCCAGTCTAATTTTTGAATAAAGAAGGGAAAAAACAGGTATTAGAGGTCATTAGAGCAGAGGAGAGCAGGGAGCAATGACCAAAAGTAGAACTGGATACCTTGTCTGGGTAGTTTGAAAGCTAGGAAGTATTTTTTTGTCATATGGCAGACTTGAACTTATTCCTTCCCTTTTTTTTGTTGTCTGCAGTTTCTGTAACAGTGATGATATAATTGGGATTGGCTTATTTACCTAGAGAATTTCCTGTTTCAATCTACTTCCTTAAAGAGATGAAGAAAGGACCAGAAAGTGAAGCATATGCACTTGCTGCTCCAGGCAATTTAGTGGGGTCAGATCCAGACACTAACAGCAACAATGGAACCTCAGCAAGAGAGAAAGACATTCTTCCTTCTCCCAGAGAACTGAAAACCAGCACAGAAACATCCAGAAAGAAACTCTGTGGTTATTTAAATAAGCTGGGCATCAAGGGGCCAATCAAGACCTGGAAGTCTCGCTGGTTCTTTTACGATGAAAACAAATGTCGCTTGCTGTACTACAGAACTGCCCAGGACATTAATCCTTTGGGGTCTATTGATCTCTCCAGTGCCAGCTTTGACTGCAAAATGGAAAATGGGGAAGGAGTTTTTGAGATCAGAACACCAAGCAGAGCTTTTACTTTGAAGGTAATGAAAAATTCTCAGTCAGGACAGACATATCTGTAGTAAGGTATCATTTAGCTTGAGTTTCATTTAAATCCTTGTAGCTTGGATTGCTACCACTTGGACCTAAATTACGTGCATTGTTTTGGCATGTCTGGGACTCCTTACCTGTGAGATGGTTATTGTTTAATAGTAGGAATGAAAGCCAGACTGTGTGCCAAATTGAAGTAATTGAGGAGTCTTGCAGTCTATGTGTAAGTTACAGAACAAAAATTAACTCCTCTGTCTAAAATGGTTGTTCCAAGAGGATTCATTGCTACACTTTTATTTCTGTGTGAAGTCATTGTTAAAAAGTTCTGGGGATGCTTCCTGTCTAAAACAATTGGGACATTTCTGCTTAGTCTTGGACCATAATAAACCAAAACACATTTAAAATTAGGTCAGCGGTCCACTGAGATTCTACCCCTTAAGGCCATACTAAGGACTTCCTCTGTCCTCCCAAATCAGTGTTAGGACAGACGATGCAGATACAGTATAGGCTTGATACAGCTGACTTTTTTTCCTGCTGGCTTGTGCAGGAAAGTGGTGGTCATCTCCTCAGGCTCTGTCTTGTGTTGATGAGATTATTCCACTCCCTTTCCTGTTTTGTTAGGCAATCAGCAAACAGGCAATGATGTACTGGCTGCAGCAACTGCAAATGAGACGTTGGGAATTTTGCAACACTCAGAGCAGATTTCCTGTGGGCAGCTCCCAGCTTGTGAATGAACCTCTGGCTGGAAGAACAAGTAGGTGTTGCACATGTTAGCCTTTCTTCTGCTTTCAGCCCCCTGGTGATGAATGGTGTTCCTCATCTGGAAATGGGTAGAAGTTTTGGCCAGGCTTTTAAATGCAGATGCCAACTATCAGTACTTGGCCAGTGTTTGGCACTTCTGCTTATTATGTATAAAAGTGAGTTAGTGACCTCCTAATCCACAGCATATGTTTGGAGATTTTCAGGTGTCTTGTGATCATCTTGATTTCCTCACACATGTGAAATGTGCACATTTGATATATCGCTCTTGTAAGGCCTCTTAAATTTAGAGCAAGAAAGTTTTTTTTCAGCAGTGGGCTGGAGATGTCCATTCCTAGAAGTGGTAGTAGGCAGGTCAGTGGATCAGGGAAGGGCACAACCAGGGTATCCACCTGTTTAGTAATGATCAGATGCACATTTTGTTTGAAACAAATAATCCCCTCCCTGGTAAGTGTCTGCTCTAAAAGGTTCTTGCTACAGCAGGCAAAAATTTGGTAACAAACTGTGCTTTCAGAGTGTTATCTGCACATTAAAACTATCAAATGTGGTTTGGAATGTGGGAAGAGAACAGCAAAATTCTCCTTCCTTATACCTTTGGGCAGTTAAAGTTTGATTGTTTAAAGTTAGTCATGCTCATATATATAGTTGAAATAATTTGATTGTCCTTGAGTAGATAATTCTGTTTGTACATAGAAATTTATGTAATTTGACATAAAATTAAGGAAACGGAAAATGTTTCCTTAATTTTTCCTACCCAACTGTCCTTGGTCACTTGAACATGTAATGTATACCTGTAGTATACATTAGTATACTGTAGTAAACTGTTGTGGCTGCTAGATTACATGAAAGACCCAAAGTCCAATGGAATTCAATCTTGCTCATTTACTTTTTTGTCCTGTTTTGTTTTTACATTTGTAAATGTAGTTGACAGTGAAGACTTTCTGCCTCTTGTGAAAACACCAACAGAAGCAGTGGGTTTAAAGGCAGCATCTTTGCCTGCACCCCAAATGTCTACTGCTTTGCAGAACATCTCCCTTAAGCACCCTTGGACGGAGATACAGTAAGTGTATGAAGAGATCTGCAGTGCAGTTGACATGCTGGCCTGCTACTGTGTGCCTTCCTTACCTGCTATGTATTGTGTGCAGTGGGACTTTTGCCTAGACGGGAGAACTGTGAAGCACCTTTATGGAGGCTAGTCCAGCCCAAAGTAAACTTCCTGCAGATGGGTCTTTCGCATCCCCTTGTTCTGATGCATTTCACATAATCTAGTTCTCTCAGCAAAGATCCTGGTAGTAAACCTAGGATTTGGTTAAACTCTCTTCGTGTAGTCAATGCTTTGCCTGCGTAATGTGATGCATCTGCACAGCAGTCTTGGAAGAGCACATGGTCAGGTTCAGCTGTACTCAGTAGGTAGTCACAGAAGCCCATTAGCTCTTCCCAGTAGTTTCAAAGGAGCATGAGTGTAGTGTATCTCCAGAGCAGGAACTCCAGGGAAAAGGAGCTTAAGGCTGTAATGTGGCCTCACTGCACAACTTGCTCTTGCTTGCTGAGTTTCAAGGGTGTTAGTATTCCTACTGCCTGCTTCTGTCGCAATGGACAGCCCCATCAGGTTAAAAATTACTAGACTTGGGCAGTTACAGTTTCACAAAGACAAACTCATCAGTATCTCTGTATTTCCTAGTCACTTATTTACACATAATCAAAAATGAGTAAATGGCCATAGGTGTGGTAGGCAGCCAGGCACCTGCCAAATATTGTTGTTGTGGAAGTTGCCTGTATTTTTTTTTACCACCACTGCTGCAGCTACAGTCTGATGCTTATATGAAGAAAGATCCCCCATGAGACCAGCGTTTCATGTTAGCAGCTTCATTTAGAGTTAGGAAAGCAGCAGACCCTGAGTCTTTTATAGACTTCAAAACAAGAGACTTGTTTTATTTTAGCTGATGGACAGCACAGGAGGAGAAGGAAAAGACCTGTATGCATACTTTCAGGTATAGGTTTTACACAAACTACTTGTACGTTTGTAGTTCCTCAAAGTAATCTGTTCTATTTTTCAGGCTATGGATTCTTTCCTACTCACATTGATTAAAACTAACACAAACGTGTCTTTGGCGCCTGCTCCTGTGCTGTGTAACAGTTGTCTCTTTCCAGCTTCAAGTTGTCTTGCTCCCCTTGTTCAGTAAATGTTTCTCCAGGCTCTATCACTGTTACGCTGGGTCTTCATGAGCGTAGTACATCTGGATCCCTGAGCTGCTGTAGTCTCATGGGGAAAACAGTGCAGCATTAGGTAGGGAAAAGTAGGAAAGTTGCATTGGATGAGTAGTAACTGCAGACTACAGGGACTGAAGGTCTGCTAGTCTTACGCACCAGTATGTTCTCCAAGGTCAGCAATGTCTGCTCTTCTGCTCTGGAGCCTTTTAGTAGCAAGGCAAAAGGATAACAGTACCTAAGTGGCAGCTTCATTTACAGTTAGGAAAGCAGTGAACACTGAGTCTTTTATAGATCTCAAAACAATGGATTTGTTTTTTGTGTGAGCTGAAGGACAGCACAGGAGGAGAAGATGACTTGTATGCATACTTTCTGGTACAGGTTTTACACAAACTACTTGTACCTTTGTAGTTCCACATGATTCTATAAAGTAATCTTTTAGTGCTTCTGGCAATATCTGATAGCAGCAGTTGTAATAAACTGTTTCTGGGTTTGACTGCAGTTTTGTTCTGGAAACTCTTTATTACACTTTATGACTTTGTAAATAACCTTTGGCAAGGTTATTTATTAAATGTTTCAGAGCACAGGACCTGTGGCTATTTCAAATGTGATAATTTGTCCTAATTTTGGCTGTGTTGTAGGTAACTGAGCTTCTCTTGGCACTTGAGGATTTCTGAAGTGAACTAAGGATAGGGATGGATGAAGGAAGTGAAGGAGAGAGGAAAGGATGTGGTTGGTGTACATTACCTTTGATCCCTCTCTTTGATCTGATGTGTTTATGTTTAGGGCTCAAGCACATGGGGAAAAATAATCTGATTTTACATTGCTGTGCTGTACTGATTCTGTGGCATCTTCCTAGTTTACACTGGTTACAACCTTGCTCTCCTCAAACTCACCAATTTGATAGAGTTCATTTTCTCAGCACATGAAGGAGATAAGTTTTGGGAGGAGGGGTGAGAAGTAAGGGGAAGTAAGGAATTGAATAATTTGAATATGCACTGGCTGGCTGCAGTGATCATGACTTCTGTTCACTAGGCGGTCTTGATCTTTTCTTGTTTCAGAAACACTGTCTACAACATTTGTGGCTCCAAGCAGCTCTGGGGGAGCAATGGGAATGTCTTTAGCTTTGATGAATTCCAAGAGCATCCTGAGAATGTGGATGAGGAGCAAGAGGCAGAAGGTGCAGGTGATTGTTACTGAGCTGCTTGAGCTGACTGGGATGTCTTCTAGCAGGGATTAGCAGGAATGGAAAGGAGATGGTGGCAAGTTTTCCAGGGATATGAATCTCTATTACATTGTCTCAAGCCTCTTCCTATGTTGTTGCCACAAGACTGACTCCTTTGGCTCTGCTTCAGGCTCCATCTGTCTCTATCTTCTACCTCTGGAACCTTTTGCAGAAGCAAAAAATAAATCCAAAAAACCATCTGGCCATCAGCTTGTGACTGTGCAGCAATTACACTTTTACCTCAAAGAAATAAATCTTAAGTGTGGCAGCTCCACTGCATGCATACCATTCCATGGTGGTAACTTTCATTTGCTGTGTGCCAGATTCATGAGCAGGGTACAAGGTGGGTTAACAGGTAAAACTATCACAACTTTGTTTATTGTGGGCATATCAGTGTCTGATCGATCCCTACTGTTTTGGATCCAACCCTGTGGGTCAATTTTCAATATTCTGTATGCCAGCCTTCTCTGCGGAATTGTTGAGTCCCCATAAGAAGACTTGGGAGTCCATAGTAGCAAAGCAATTCTGTCTAAATTAAATCTATCTCCCCTCAGTTAAGGAAGGGACCCTGGAAGATGGGAGGATGGGGCCCAGGCTGAAGTGGATTAGGAAAGCCAGGTGGATGAACAGTGGCTTCCCAGGCTCTGAAGAATTGTTGAGGGAGAAGAACTCAGTGGATAAAGTGAGTGACCTTCAGCAGCAGATTCTGACACTCACAGAGGAAGTCAAGTCACAGAAGGTGAGTGTGGTGAAGAGACTGCTATTTCTAAGGGTCAGGGCCCTGAGGTTTGGTTGGTCAATGTGTAAGGGACTCCCTTACACATTGGTGTGGTGCAAGCACTGAGAAGTGCTCAGCAGGCAGTAATTGGAGACCAGTTGAAGTGCCTGGTGTGTGCCTAAGTGAAAAAAAGAAGATATCCAGCCATGTCTAGGAAGTGCAGCTAGGTGTAAGAGGGAGGTAAAACAAATCCAAGTGTACTGTGGTGTTATCTTGCTTGTGCATCTCTGTTGCTCACTAAGTACAGTCCTGAATAGGTACTATGACACTGGTGAGAACTGCCATGGTGTTAACAGCAGGTCATTCTTTTTGAACAGTGACCCACCTTTAAGGTGTGATTTGGCTGTAAGAAGTCAGGGCATAGGTCACTGCAAGGGCTGTCTCTCATGAATGACATTGTTCTTCAAAGCATGGAGCAATGCCAGGTTCTCTGCTAATGGTGCTGGTAGCTCATCCAGCAGAAGAGGCAGGAGAGCCAAGTCCCATGTTGGGCTTTCAGATGTGTCCTTAATTTGCCCTCTTAAATGTCCGAGATGGCTGAGCCTGAATCAGCAACAAGTTGTGGGGTAAGGTTCCATGCTTTCATGCAGGATAGAGTGAGGGAGGTTAAAATGGATACTGCGGTTTCCTTCTAGTAGCACAGGTAGTTGCAAACAGCATTATTTCCCTCCCATTTTACCACATGGCTGACCAGATCTCCATGTTCTCTGCTGGGCCTCCCAAGAATGACTGTAGGAAAGCCAGAGTTCAGACAGTGTGGGCAGCAGCTTTTCTGCTACCAATCCAAGTCAGGTCATCTGTGAACTGCCATAGAGACCTTTCAGGCCCAGCTCTGAGAGCAGAATGTCTCACAGTGGTGTCACTGCAGATTCAAGATCAGGCCCAGCTCTGAGAGCAGAATGTCTCACAGTGGTGTCACTGCAGATTCAAGATTTCTATTGTTTTCCTTCTGATAGCAGTCAATTTCAAGATATTTCACTAGTGGGTCTGTGCTGTCCATAATACCATTGCCCTGAACAGCACAGTGTTATGATGGTTTTGCATTCCCTTTCCAGGAACTGGTCAAACTTCTTCACAAAGCTCTGGAGGCAGCCCAGCAGGAGAAGCGAGTATCTAGCATGTATCTCACAGCAGCAGAAGATAAGGACAGGCTGGAGCTGGTGCGCCACAAAGTGAGACAAATTGCAGATCTGACAAGTCGACTGGAAGCTCTTGAACAAGAAAAGAAGGAACTGGAGCAGATACTGACTTTGAGAGACAGCCATATCCAGGAGCTCAAGGAACATGTGCAGCTTTTGATGGAGAAGAACCATGCCAAACAGAAAGTCATCATGACCTTGACAGAGCAGATGGCCCGAAAACTCTCTGACCCCCTGCAAGAAGCTAACACTATCACTGTAGAGACATTGTATAAGCAGCAGGAGGAGATTGAGCATCTGAAGGTATGTGAGATGGCACAGGTCTTTAGGGCCCATTTTTATGCCCTCAGGTTCAGTGGGAGGGTGTTCTTTGCAGGAAGCACAGAATATACTTCTGGTTGCTCCATCCCTCTCCAAACGGGAGGAAGGCTGGAAGGGGCTCACCTGATGCCAGTAGGGTACTAAAAAGCATCTGAGTCAGTTTCAGCTTCAGCTTAGAGGCTGTTTTGTTTGCTTTACTGTATTCATTCAGTGCCTGCCACTTTATTTTCTTTCGTTTCATAGCTGCAGCCTGACTTGCTGCCTTCACGTACTTTGTTGCTGTATGTTTCTCTCTTGCAGTTTCCCAATACATCCTGGTTCTTTCAGATACAGGTTGTTTTATATGTGCACAGCTTATGGGTTAGGTGAGGTGGAGAATTGCCAAAAGAGCTACTTCTGTGGAGAGTGTTCATTTTTTCTGCCAGCCATGGGGCTAAGATTTGTTTCATATTAAAAAAAAAGAAAAAAAAAAAAAAGAAACCAATCAAAATTTAACCAATCAACCAAATAAAATCCAAACAAAACACATATATTCTTAATCTTATTTAAGTGTATCCCTGGCTTTATATGCTCTAGATCTCTACAGTGTTTTTAAATGTGTATATACATTTAGCATTTTCAAGAGTCTTGTTGATGCATGACAGTATTGTGCCTTGATTTCCTTTGTAGGCAATATTTGTAATGGGGAGTCCTGTCTGCTCCTCAGAACACAGAATTTTTGAGATATTTTATTGTCCTTAACTTAATCTGATGTCCCTGAAATGGGAGGGATTTTAAGCCCCTCAAGATCTATCCTTGTGTGACTGTTTTGCTTCATGGCAGGATGATATTGATGCATACAAAACCCAGAACCAGTTTCTCAATTCTGAGATCCACCAGGTTACTCGACTCTGGACAAGTGTTGCTGAGAATGAAAAAGCTCTTCTGATGAAGGTAGGGCCAAGTGACCTTTTTTCTTTGGTTGGTACTGTTACTAATTTATTTTCAAAGTTTCTCTTCTGTGGCACAAGATTAGATTTTGATCCACAAGGAATAAGCTTTCTTGTGTTTTTTTGAGTGTGACCTCTTTACTTCTTTCTGCTGTTCCCAAATTAGACATGATAATTTTAATTCTTTAACAGAAGTAAAATACCTGTGAAGATCAGTCTTAATTGTGCTGAAACTTAACACAAATTTCTGTATTTCAGCTATGCAAATAAAAAAACAACCCTGTGTAGGCAATCAGAAAAGTTTCCTGAGAGCTGACAGATTAATTCCTGACTCCATCTATTCATGGTTTCTTTGCTGGTCGTGGCACTACTAGGTGGCAGCATCCTTGAAGTCCTGCAGTTAGATCAGAGTTATTATGTTCTCCTATGTTGTATTTTTATTTCTAGCTTTGTAAGTGGGAAAAACCTGGTTACTCTCAAACTTGTCTAATCCTATTTTCTGGTTCTGAACCACTCTCAAGGCTGGAGCGGTGTGCTGGCATTTGTTCTGTGGGTTTTGCCCAGGATTTACTTCCCTGTGTTTTAAGGTATTGTTGAGAATGAGTGTCTTGGGTTGTTTAAAGAATCACTGGCAAAGGTTAGGCATAGCAGGTTCAGTATTGAAGTGAAAGCATGGCAAAGCTCATTGCCAAGGTTCACTGTGCTACTTACTAGATGGTTAAAGCACACGAAGATAAAATAGTACTAATAAAACATATAATCAGTCAATCTAAAACTAAAATCAATTAAAAATCTATGTGGAAGCTGGGAATGGAAAAGGGTAAGGATGGGAGAGCTTTAACATAAAAGGAAAAAGGGAGGCCCTCCCATCGAGCCACAAGGTTCAGTGTGGACTCCTGCGCAAAACTTGGCTCTGGACTTGAACAATAGTTTGGGCCTAAAGATTTTAATGCACTTAAACTTAACAGCACTTAAACAATGGCTGAATTGAAACAATTTACAAAAGATTCTATGGAATTTACTGCAATCACAATAGTAACTCACAGGCCTAAATTACTAACCTAAAATACTTGAGAATCTAAGATTCCAGGTACATTTTCTGTAGCATAATCACCCAGACCTAGAGTACATACAAGGTATGTGTGAAAACTCTCCCTTGAGCTCAGTGAAGTGCTCATGTCAGATGTCTTCATCTTCTCAGCAGGCAAAGGGTTGAGCCTTGAGGAGTGGGGGTATTGACCCAGGCTTTGTCATCATCATTTGCCGGTGGTGCTCCAAGTACAGCAAATTTGAGAGTTCTCTGGCTCTGAGAGGCCTCACTCAGAGAGAGGTTACTGGTCACAGCCCAGTGTGGTCCAGGACACCTCCAAGGGTCTCACTTGGAACCACTGTTTATAGGTTCATAAGAGAATTGCCTTTAGTCATAATAATTTGCCATCCTGGCTGCAATTGGTAACTTTTGAAAACTTGATGACAGAAACATTCCTCCACTTGAGTTTGCAAGAAAAATAAGTTTCTAATGGTTAAAAACCAAAGCTCATTAGCACCAATTCCTGGGAGCCTGTGCTTCTTGTGCTTTCTAATAAGTACAAGAGCTTAGCCCAGGTGCTGTTCATTAACACTGAGGCCTAACAAGCATTTCTGAAATCATGATGTGGCATTAGGTGGGGGAGTGCACCACTACAGGGTGTGTATACACATACACATACGCATGGCTTCTGGGACAGGGCAAAAAGCTGCTTCTGGAGTGTTATTATCATTCTTATATCTGTTTGCTTTCTAGATCTTAGAAACCCTGCCTTCCTCCTAACTTACTGCCCTCTCATCCTGACACTTCCATAACCTTCAAAAATGAAGTAATCACACGAGCCCAGTATGCTCAGTGTGAGGCAGAATGCTGACTAAAGGGCTGGTGTGAAAGAAACCATGCTCCTTTCTGTCCCCTCTATATGCAACCTAATTCTTTCTGTTTCGTTCTTGTTTTCAACTTTTTCCCACTGAACAGGAATCTTTGCTGAGCTTCCTGTGAGACACTGGGTGAGTCTTGTCACCTGTGTGGCCTCAGTTCCCCACTTGTGGAGTGCACTAATAATTAATCCTTATTAATTTTTTTTTGCTTTTTGTGCCAAGGCCTAAGGTGGTAGCAGGTACTGTCCTGCTGGGCTTCCTGTGCATGATAAATGATGTCTACCAGTGCCATGGGACTGGAGATGCTGAAGGGCATTTGGTCACCTAGTCTGTGGTGCTACCATGTATCCTGAAAATGCTATACTTACAGCTCAGTCTCTGGAGTGGTATGTTTTATCAGGATACAGCTCAATGTGGTGTAGAGAGATTGTCTGAGGTTAAGGGATAAAGACAGCAGAAACCCAGACGCAGATCTGGCTCTTTTAACTGTGTCCTTAGTTGAGCTGGTGGGGTGTGGCATCTACTGATGCAATGCAGTAGTTAAAGTAGGTGATGATGTAGTATGTCTCCCACTCAATAAGCAACTTCTTTAGCACGCTAGATACTGCAGCTTGTGTTTGTTCATAGACTGTGGTGATTCATTCATGGCTGCAATTCCACTGATTGTGGAAAACTACTAAATGTGCTTCCTGGGGCTTTGCTCTGCAGAAGTCTTTATGTGCAGGCCAGGCCAGTAGAGAGCAGTGGCAACACAGGAAGGACTATCACTGAGCGAGCTCTTTCTCTTGTTTCCCCATCAGTGTGCCTGCCTGCAAGCAAGAAACTGCCAGATGGAGAGCAAATACCTGACAGTCTTGAGAAAGCTGCAGGAGGCTGTGCCTGGCCTGCCCAACTCTCATACTGAACTTGTGAAGAACCTCATCCAGGAGGCTCTCCAGTGGGATGTGAAGGAAGAAGCAGAAGAAGGTTTTAACTTGAACCCTGTAAGGTAAGAGTTAAGAGCATGGGGATATTCACAGCTTTGTAGAAGCCTGTCTGCAAAGGGAAGTGTGCAGGCATGATACATCTAATAACATTCTATAGTAGGGGCCTACATTTGTGTCTATGCCTTCCTACACAGTCAGGGCCCCTGTTCTGTAGGAGTTCCCATTTTATCTGTTTGGTCAATCTCACAGGTTCTCCATGTAGCTTTGGAGATGAGACCCCCTAGGTTTTTTGTGAAGAGTCTCCCACCTTGTGGACAGATGGTGCACAAACCTTGACAAGCTGTACTATCTATACTCTTGGTGTGTTTTGATCAGTACGAGATTTTCACTGTGTACAAGCAAACATCAGAAAGGACTGTGGATATCTGTTCTTTGATCTCATGCCCCAAAGCCTTTCCAGTCCTCTCCTACAGAACTATTTCTGCACTGGGAGAGGGTAGGGAGAAGATACACAGGGTGAGCTCAGGATTTCTTTAGGGGCTGATTAGGGGTCTACTGAGGTTGGTATGCAGCTCAGAGAAAAGTTACTCTTGAGTTGGTGAGTGTATGCCAGTGCTGCAGGTTCTCATTTGTCTTTAAGACTCTGAGGTAGGCAGTCACATGCAGTGAAGTGGAGGAGTACTGTTACAAGTGAGTGTTTGAGATCACTTAAAAAAAATCCTAGCAAAGGTATCAGCAAAACCCTGATTTAATATTAAGTGACAGCACAACACAGTGAAGTTGAGGTCTAAGGATAATTTCTCAGATCTCAGTGCAGCCTGGAAAGGGAGGGGGGTGGGGGGTGCACACCCACAAGGACTTGTGCGCTGGTATGGGTGATGTGAGCCTGGCAGCAGGTTGTAGCTGGGTTGATCCCAAACAGTAAGTGTCCTTGACACAGGTACCAGCACTGTCATTTGAACTAAACACTGCTTTGTGTCCCTCCAGTGAGTATGATGAGTATGGGTTTATGACTGTACCTGACTATGAAATTGAGGACTGGAAACTTCTGGCCAGAATCCAAGCCCTTGAGATAAAGTCCAACAAACTGTGGAGCCAGGAAATAGTGGAGAAGCCCCTCCGTGACAGATGGAACAGTATTGGAGAGTTGAACCCCTCTGCAGAGCTGAAGAGCTTAATTCGAAGTGGCATCCCAGTGGAGCATCGGCAGCGGGTGTGGAGCTGGATGGTCAGCCGGCACTGCAGCCCAGTGCCTGGCCACTACCAGCGGCTGCTGGAGCAGAGCAGGAGCACCGAGCACCCGGCCTGCCGGCAGATTGAGCTTGACCTGCCCCGTACACTGACCAACAACAAGCATTTCTCCTCTCCCACCTCCCAGCTCATCCCCAGGCTCCGGAGGGTGTTAGTGGCATTCTCCTGGCACAATCCTGCCATTGGGTACTGCCAGGGATTGAACAGGTATGCTGCTTCTTCATGAGATGGCACTGAAAAGGTGTAGACATGTACTCCAGGCTGTGATTCAAGCAGCCTCAGGCTCTTGCCTCTCTACAGATTCTGTCCTAGCTCTAGGTATTTAATTGCAGAATTCTTTGACTTATTTTTCATCCAGTGTTGTTACTGGGATCCAGAAAGCAGCAGGTTGCATTTGCATGGCATCTCTATAGTTACAGAATGGGAAAGAATAGCTACAGAAGGAAGAGTGAAGCAGTCCCAGAATAACACCACAAGGCTGAGGCTGAATTTTTAAGTAGTAATGTAAAGTCATAAAGCAGAAGAACACCCTGGTGGTTCCCTTTTTTGCTGAGAACAGTTGGAGGAAATGGTGGGAAGTGTTAACATGCAAGAGAGTTGCAGGAAACAACACAAAGAAAGACTGTGGAAAACATGGTTGTTCTGTCTGGAAAAGAGAAGATTCAGAGAATATGAAAGTTTCTTTCATTCCCAAAGAAGGCTATAGGAAAGATCAACCTAAATTTCCTAGAATTGTGCTGCCAAGTAGAAAAGGCAGTAGGCATTATGTGTAAGAACAGAATTTCTAGTTGGGCCTTTTCACATGAGGGAGGTTTGTGTAAGCTATTTATTCCTAATGATCTTTGGATGGTCTTCAGAAATATGATAGAAGCTTTCCCCCAGATAGCCCTTAATATAAGGGATCATCTTTCTAGTCTGTCTAAAAGGCAGTAAGTCACAGTTGAAAGAGGTCAGAGGTATAAAAGAATGTATGGAGATTATATCACATAATATGAAGTACCTTTTTGTGACCTCTTTCTTGTATTGAAATAGCCAAAATCAGCACTACTAACTTCAGCGGATCTACAGAACATTTCATTAGCTGGGAAACCTGGCTTTGTCAGACCAGAGCCATATTGGAATGAAGGTCAGATCCCTGTGGTTCCTTCAGAAACGGATCACTTGCCTCTGTCTGGCTGTCCTGCCACATTTGGTATTTTGGATGCCAATGGAGCTGGAGCCATGCAAAAAGACCTCTTGTATTCTTCAATTTCTGTGTTGATGACTCCTCCTGCAGTACTGAATTCTCTCACCATGTCTTGTCCATCACAGATTGGCAGCTGTTGCTCTCCTGGTCCTAGAAGATGAGGAAAGTGCTTTCTGGTGTCTGGTCTATATTGTGGAGAACCTAATGCCAGCAGACTACTACAGTGAGACACTAATAACATCACAGGTGAGCTGAGCACCCTCACATCTGCTTGAACTCTCATACAGTGATGTGCAGTAAAGATTTAAAAGTGAGTAGTCAACCTGCCGTGTGTTTGATTTCTCACAGGACAGTGCTACCACCTTACAATTCCTTCCACTGCAGAGGTGTTGGAGACTTGAGAGTACAAAATTCTTACACTGACACAGAGCAGCAAAACTGGTCAATTGTTACACTCAGAGCAGCAAAATTGGTCACCAGCTCTAGGAAATGAGGTACCACTCCCGAGTAATAAAATGAAATCAGGTTAGTCAGAAGGAAAGTGGCCATTAATTGCACAGTTACTTATTTTAAAGAAGTCTTAACAGAAGTGAAGCAGCAAATTCTGGTATATATAGACTGAATATGAGGAAGGCACCATTTTGAAGCCCTTCAGTTTTTGAAGCTGCACTCTTATCTTCGGAGTGCCATGTACATGTGCTGAGATTTTTATATTCACTGTATTTGCCTCAGTTCATGATCAAGCATGGTGTTAGTTCTCACTACTGGGCTGTCTGCACATCAGAAAAGATTCTGGCCTTTTGATACCAGCTGTTGTGCTGCAAATAGCTTACTCACCTGATTCAAAATCACTGGATTTCAAGGATTTCAGTCTGTCTTGTGCCAGATATCTATGTCCTCGCAGGCAGACAGAGGTAAGCTAACTCCTATGTAGTTCAATGGAATTGTAATTGTGTGCCCATATCACCCACATCCATCAGTGTCTGGTCTGGTAAGCCTTGCTGTGACCTTGATGTCTCTGTTTTATGTGGTCCTTTCAGAGGAAAAAAGGGTTTGTTTTTATCTGTGGGCCCACAATAGAGGAGGCTTCAAGAGTCAATAGCTGAGAGTGACTGATGACACTGAATTTGTTGACTAACTTTTACTGGGATAGTGGTGTGGTGGTGGAGAGGCCAACTCATAGACTGGAGAAACAGTTAAATTACTTTAAAGATAGCAAAATGCCTCTCCAGAGGAGATTGTGTTAGCTGTGGGATTTAATAGACAGCACTCAATACTGAACAAGTAGAGACTGACAGGGAAAATATGACAGACTGAAGTGGCTTACCTACATTCAGTGAGAAAACACTGTCAACTGAAAGTGTGCTTTAGAAAGAATTTCTGACCTCATGGTTGGTATCTGAAAATCTAGCCAAGACTCCTGTAAAGAGGAGCATCTAACGGTTAGCTTGATAAAGTGAGTTGGCTGTAAAACTTAAAATTGGAAATTTTGAAGACAAAGCATATTACTTGTATGGTTTGTAGCCCTGTGCCACAGCTAAGTAGGCTGATACAGCTGGGACATTAATATAATATGGCAGAGGGAAGCCCTAAACATGATCCTGTTCTTTAGCACTTACCCTCCAGAGAGCACAGCTCTGCTGAGATGAAACCTTTACAAACCTGGATTGAGGATCTCACTGACTTAATTTCTTTGTTTTGGCTCATGCAACCAGAAGCAAAACACAGACAGTACTCAGACCATAAAGAGAAGCTTAAGTGAGAGGATCAGGTTCCGCTTGCAAAGTCAGAGGTATTTGAGGTGTCTGTTGGGCTATGTAGAGTCATTCAGACCTGGGCAGGTTTTAATGCCTGTTATTCAATCGGGTGCTCATGGTGTCACAGAAAATCCCAGTAAGACCAATGCAGGATGATGTGTCAGATTTTCCCTCTCAGTTTTGAGATTGGGAAGGAATATGATTCTTTGAGTGAGAAGAATGTATGTTTCTCTGCTTCTATCTTAGCCTTGTTTCAGCTCCATGCCTTGCTCTGGATACTGCATACAAGTACACTGGTCAGTGAGTTTGAAGAGACAAAGGATGCTCTGCTCCTCCTAGGGTGTGTTTCACTAGAAGGCAGCACCATTGATGACCCTGACATGCAAGGGCTATTGTCCTGTTGCACTGCTCCTCTCCTCTAACAGCAGAACTGCTCTTGATTAGGACTTCATTGTTTTCTTTTTTGTCAATTTTAGGTAGATCAGAGAGTCTTCAAAGACTTCCTGTCTGAGAAGCTGCCTTGCCTCATGGCTCATTTTGAACAGTATCGGATTGATGTCTCACTCATCACCTTCAACTGGTTTCTCGTGGCCTTTGTGGACAGCTTGGTCAGCGACATCCTCCTGCGAGTGTGGGATGCCTTCTTGTATGAGGGAACTAAGGTGTGCCTCTCACTCTAGGCCTTCCTCTCATCTGTACCATCTGTGTGGCATAGTGATAGGGTGATGGGCATACACATATATCAAAGATATGTGTGACTGAGCTGCTTGTCCTATCCTGCCTCTTTGGTGGCATGCCTTGATGTCTCCAAGCCCCTGTTTTCTATGTACTTGCTGCTAGTAGGCTGACCTAGTCCCTGATTCTGTGCACTTGGTACTTTTTAGCAGATAGTTGTGCTGTAAAACATCTCTGTGGAAGGCCTTGGTGTCTCCTACTCTGTGACACAGCTAAGACTATTACAGATAAAGGAAGCATAAGATAGGCAGTATCTGAAAATGTGAGTCCTGCATTGTCCCTGTGCATAGGGAAAACTGCAGAACCCTTGTGAAATCCCTGTAGGGTACTTTTGTAGAGCCTGCTATTCTCTGGGGTTGCAATTTAGCCAACAGATGGTCATTCTCTTGAGATTATGTCTGTACTCCTTTAGGCCTGCCCTTGTGCATACTGTTGAGAGCAAGAGTAACCCTGGATCTAGACTGTACTGCAGTGCTGTGTGCCCAACATCATCTTTCGTTCCAGGATGGCCTGGACCTTCAGTTACTTATAACTTTATCCACTCAAATATGCTTCAACCCTCCAGGTAATTTTCCGCTATGCTCTTGCGATTTTTAAATACAATGAAGAGGAAATCCTAAGAATTCATGACAGTGTGGAGATCTACCAGTATCTACGCTTCTTCACAAGGTTGATCACGGATGGCAGGTAGGACTCAGTTGTAGACAAGCTTTCATTGTGTACTTGTACTTGCTTGCCTGTTGGGTCCATTTAACAGGAATTGCGACTAGTTTATTAAGAGAAACACAAATGCATTGATAGGTTTGTGGGACATAGATCCATTTGTCTCTTTTTGACTTTCCCTTCATGGCATTACTTAAAATCTTTTTGTCTCAAGCAAAGGCATGCTACAGCAGAGCAAGCCACAATGTCTGGGTTAGTCTTGTAGTAGCTGGTACTTGTGCTAGTGATTGCTGGGTTTCTCTCAGCTGTAGTTGGGGTGTTTGGGAACACAACACAATCCATGATCTTGAATGGCAACATATCTCTGAGATGAAGGTTTCTGTGATCAGAAAAGCTCAACATCAGGAATATTCCTTCCTGACAAGCCATCAGAATTGGCATCTGATCCATTATCTCCTAAATGATGGCTGCACACTGATACCTTAAAAGGTGGGATGGTACATGTGTATATGAAGTACTGCTTGGGTTGGTGTTTGTGTGGGAAAGAATTCCTTTAATTCTTGGCTGTTTGGTGACTTAGCTCAGAGAGCTGAAGTCTGTGGTCCTGCTCTTTAATACCCCGGAATGCTCTTGGTGTATCTGTTACAATGTGTTACCAGCCAGTAAATAAGTTGACCACAGCTGTCCTTTCTATTGTAGGAAGCTGATGAACATTGCCTTCAATGACTTAAACCCCTTCCCCATGAAACTGCTGAGGAACCGTCGGTCAATGCACAGAGAAGAGCTGGAGGCAGAGCTGCGTGAACTTGAACAGATCAAGGCAGCCTATGTGAAAGAGAGAGCAGAGCAGGGACCTCAGGACTTGGAGGAGGTAGTTAGTGAAGAGGAAGAAGAGAGCTAACAAAAAGAGAGTTCATCATCACTTCCCTCCCATATTGCAGAAGGTCATCTGTAGCAACTGTCAGTGAGAAATGGACCACAGGAGGAAGCGTGGTCACAGGAGCTCATGTACCCCAATAAGCAAGGCTGTATGGGACCATTTTGGAGACCAAGTCAGATTTATAATGGATTGGAAGGTGTCAGGGGAGTTTAATCCTCTTCTATATTTCTCCCCATTTAGCCCATCCTGTCCTGTGCAGTTCAGGATTACAGCTGAGGGTGCAGAAGAAATATCAGTTGTGGTGTCATGACAGGAACTAACATGATGCAAAAGACCAAGCAGGGCTTTTATTCATTTTTGGATGGAAGCTTGAATGAGGTCTTTACTACAAGTAAAATGTCAGAGATAACGAACCAAGAACACTCCCTTGTTACCTAAAGCTTCAGAACTGGTCAGGAAGAAACTTCTCTTAAACAGCATGGTGCCTTCATTGTCTAGCCTGCCAGGAGAGTGTGTTTTTAACATTGTTACTGATCAAGACACTGTCTCCAGATGAGTGTTGGGTCTGTGGAGGTTCTGAAAGCTGGAGGACATCAGCCCATGGGATGCAGGCTGGGACCAGGAAACAGATCGTGGGAGAGTAGAGTTCTTCCTGTAGGAAGTTCATGGGAGCACAAGGTGTCTTCTGCTTTGCTGGGAAATATTGTGAGCTTTCTCTCCTCATGTTTAGCTTTTAGGCCCTGGTATCACTCTATGCTGGTGAGTTTGCTCCATGGAGGAACTCTTATCTCTGTATGAAACCAGCCTTCCTGTAGGCAGGGCCAAGTGTTATGTGGACTTTTACTGGGGATGACTGGATTTTCTGATAGTCTCACTCCTGGCCATCTCCTGCCCCATGGTTACAGTCCTCCTGTGCTGGGTTTTCACATTGATATCCCTGTCTCTGAGTTCCATTCATTATGAGAGGGACAAAGGTTTTTCTATAGGAGTTTATGATATTGAAGGTGTTTTGTCCATGGCATATGGCTGGTAGTGAACCTGAAAACCCTGGGAACAAGGTCACAAAAGATGACTTGATATTCTTTAGAAAAAAACATTAATGTCCCTTGAACCAAGGAGCTGGCCTCCATGGGTCTAGCACACAGAGATACCCTATCTGCCTCTGGAAATGGGGTCTGACAGCCTTCTGCCCTGCCTCCAGGCTCACCCATCCCCTGCCTGTGCAGCTCAGCTCTCCACTGACCCAGGATGAGTCAACTGTTTAGATAAATACAACTTATTTTTCCTTAACATGATGCCAGATCCTGCTGCCTCACTTTCCTGCTGAGTGGTGTATTACTCCAGGTGTACCTGCAGTGCTGGCACAGATAGCATGCAGCAGACACTGCTGTAAGGGGCGGGGGCTCTATGTTTTTAGACTGACCTTGAACCCAAATGGCTTATGCTTTCTTTAACTATCTAGTGGTTAATAACCCAGCCCTTCAAGTTGTCAGTACTTGTAGAGAGGAAGGAAAGGGAGGAATTCATAGCCCACAGTGTTCTCAGCCCCTTTCTTCTTGGGCTGTAGCCAAGATGACAGACTCTAGTGGAATTGTTGTCTATTCACCTGAGATACATGGTCTGCCTCACTGGACAAATCAGCAACTTTCAATGCCTTATAGAAGACTGAGATGGGAGAGACCTGTGGAGGTCAACCACATGGCAGAGAAGTAATCAAAGTGGAAGTGAAATTTTTGGGACGAGTGGACAGGTCCCCTGAAGGTCACTGAGAGCTGCACACATTAAAAGTCTGGGATGAGAAGGAAATGTTACTGGAAGCCTGCTACAGTATCTCAAAGGAAAAAATAAGCTCATTTAAAAAGTATGCCATCTAGAGAAGTCTAAAAGGCAGAAGGTTTTTCTTCACATATTATACTGCTAATCTGTTTATAGACGTATGTTCATGAGTGCACACAGAATTTAGCCATTGTTACAGACATTATCTTCTAAATCAAGACCATGAAAATTAGATGTTTACTTACAATTTTGTTTCCTAGAGCTTTCTGCAACAGATTAAGAATCTTTCCTCCTGATTTGCCCTTATGTTTAATAATAAAGGCATTTGAAACATGTATTATTAGACTAAACCACAGCCTGACTATGATCTGTGTGATACATAAAGTCATCTGACATAGACCTAAAGATCAAGATACTGATCCTGATGGAGAATTCTGAAAATAATTTTAAAATTAAATTGGAAGGGAAGGACATGTGAGGGTTGTTTTAAAGTTTCTTTTCTTTTGTGTCTTACTCAGCTCTTGGTTTTAGTCCAAATATATTTGCTGAGGACTATCTTCTCTGGTCCTATTGATAACCAGTTGTGGTCATTCTTTATTAAACTGTGGTGGATTTAGGAATGTCTGCAAAGCCTATAAAGACCTGCACCTTGGAGCCAAGCTGACATGTCCTCATGGGCTCTCATCTACTTTCCTTCTGCTTCATAAACTTCAGTAGTACTGAAAAGCACTGAACTCAGGTCACAAAATTGCAGTTGGGCCAGACACAAATACCTCAAGCCCCTGCAAGACCTTCAGTGACTATCAGTCAATGCCATGGGTGTTTTGAATCTCTTGGTTACCTCTGCATGAAGTGCTCAGGAATGATTTGTGCTGCCACTGCCAACTGTTGTGGCTGGGAAACAGTTTGACCTAGTCATGCAGCCCAGCAGCTCCTTCTGCCTGTGCTGGCACCTGTGCATAAAACAGGTGTCTTTCTACCTAGAGCCAGACTTTGCTGAGCTTTGCTGTATGTGTAACATTATTTGTGAAATTAAGCTTTCTATCTCTGAATTAACCTAAATCTTGGCATACCAGCTCCAACCCTAAAAAGGAGGGTTTTGATTTCCACACTCACCCTCCTCCCTATGATATGCCATTAACTTGTAAGTTCACTTTGTTGCAGGATCTTGTGGCCACCAAAAATTCATGGGGTTTGAGAGGATGAATTGGTGGAGTGGTGCCAAACACACATAAAGCCACTGCTGGCTAAATAATTCCCTGAGCTGCCAATAGAAGAGTCTGTAAAGCTTCCCTTTTTGGCCTGGATCTATACCTTCATATGCTGCAGCTAAGCCCTGTATTCTGGTGTGCTGCCAGAGTGGCAAGAGGCATGACTGGGGAGGTTGTTTCTGGGTTAATGTTTAGCCTAAGCTTGAGCATCTCGCCCAGGGTGAAGGTGAGAGCTAAGGGGCAAGGCATTTTTCCATGGGAGGATAGCAACAACACGCTGTAGCAGGAACTATACCACAGTGCTGAGGTTTCTTTTCCAGTCTGCAGGCCGGGCAACTTCCTGCCACCATCACAGACACAAGACCTTGGGCTTGCTCTCTTCCCATTTAAGAGCTCACTTGTGGCCTGAGATGATGCTGAGATTTCTCCAGCCATCTTCCAGTGCTAAGAGCTCCTTTACAAAATATTAGCTCTGGTTGGTCTATGGACATGCCAAGTGCAAGAAGACAAACCACTTTCCCATGGCCAAGCCAGTGCTGCAGCAGATATAATGCCATGCAAGATATTTTAACTTCTTTCCTAGAGTTCAGTCAGAGACTGGAGATGCTAAATCATGAGATTATCCATGTGCTTTCTGTTCAACCTCAGGAGCTCTCCCGAGGGGAAAACAGCACAGTGGTTGGTCAGTGGAAGAGAAGGTATTGCTAACCATGACACGTTTGGGGTGAGAGGTACCATACTCTGCTGCAGCTAGATGTTTGCTTTGGTCACATGGTCCACTACCTTTGAGATGAAGTCCTTATTTCTCCTTGTTATTAAATGACTGCTTCCTCTGAAGTACAAAGTCTGTCTTTGAGACTCCAGCTCTTGGATCAGTATCTGCTCTGGCTTTGAGCTTAATTTTTATGACACAGAACCTCTGGCACATTCTGGTGTCAAGCTGTTGGAAGCTTGGAGACTTGAAGCAATATCCAGGGTAAGCAGAATTAAATTTCAAGCCCCCTTGTAATACCAAAATTGTCCAGATTAAAACTTTCTAACACAGTTTTGAGTATTAGAAAGCAGCTTTCTTTATCACAGTGTTCTGGTCACTCAGAGAATCCTTCTTCTAAGTAAGTATGCCCTGGGCATTGGGTAAATGCTCAAAACTGAGTTTTTAATCATACATGCTGATGACACACTCGTTGGCTATCCCTGCTTACTTGATGTATGTGTGTTTATTTTACATAGCTGCACCCCTTATTGGATGTCCCTAAGCTCTTCAGGGTTTGTCTTCAATGTCCAGTATCCTCTTTAGGTGGCTGTTCCTCAACCCTCATTTTGAGTAAGTGCAATATTGTTACTTTGCATAACTTCAGCTTTGTCAGCCTTGCAAAGCTAAGCTGGCATCTTATGTTTTGCATGAGTTTTTTTGTCTACTCCTCCAAGACTACATTGTTCCCTTTATTTAATAAGAGTAAAATGTTCTGGTCTACCGTCCTTATCATTTGGGAAAAAATAGTACTCAGCCCAACATTACAATTCCATGCTGAAAATAGCACCTATATGTTCTTCTTTTACAAAATCATTTTGTTAATAGAAAAGTATTGTCTATGGGCAGCAATTTTGCAGGGAGGAAAAGTACCAAAACAAAATTAAAACCAATTTATATTTTTGCTGCATCTTCTAATAACATTTATCAACATCATAAAAACTCTTGCACCTTGATGGGAAATGCCAATGCCACAAACTCTGAAAAGGCTTCCAGTTTTGCTCTAACATTGCAATGGTGCTTTAAATCAGTCCCAAGCTGGGTGTTGTGCCCTCCATGCCCACCTGCAGCTGCGTACATGTGGCACAGTTAGTGATAGTGTGCTGCATGGGGCTGGAAATAATTACAGGAGGAAAAATAGGAACCAGTGAAGTTTATTTAAAGATTAAGCTAATTGGTCATAACTAATTAGCAGCTTCCTGCATGTGTCCATGTGGAACTACCAGAGACACGTCAGGACCCTTGTCCTCTGCAAGCAGGGATAAGTCAGAGTTTAGTGTTTGCTGCAGTGTCTCCAACTTCTGCTGCTGGATCTCAACAGAAAGCACAAACATGATGGCTGCTGGAGGCCCTTTACACAGCATAAGGGTTGTATGGGAGTACTCTTTCCCAGAAGCCACTTCTGTGGACACAGGCTGTCACCAGGGTCGCTCAGCCAGACTGTTGCTGCTGGATGACCAGTTGAGATATCTCAGGGAACACAACAGAGATAGCATTCACTCCAATCACCAAGGACACCCCAGTCTCAGCCACCCAGTTTAAGACTGCAAAGGGGACTGGGGAGTCCCAAACCATTCACTTTGTCAGCACCTAAAACAGCTCTCATGAATGGCATTTGCACATGTATAGCATAGCCAGATGCCTACAGTGGGCAGAGCTGTAGGTAGAAGAAATCTTTCCCCCCAAAGACCTTAAACAAATCTGTCTTTTTCTCCCTGTCAATCCTGCATGCAATTTTCTACAGCTTACTCAGGGCTGTAGCACAACATGTGTTAAAGGAAGCACTGGAAATCCTCTGTGTATCAGTACCTGACCTCTCAGTCTTGTACAACTCTATATAGGCAACATGTGAGCACACACTGCGAGGATCCTGAGGGCTACCAGAAGTCATCTCAATTCTCATAGGCAGGGCAGGCCTAGGACAGCTGCTGCACTAGCATCCACAATTCGTGTCCTCAGAAATTCCTTCCTGTGCTCCATCCATGCAGATTGCTTCTCAACAGTTGTCTGGTGTGGGACTCAGATTCAGTCAAAGAAAGAAAATGAGAGTTTCTAGCCTGGGAAAAAGCTGAAGAAAAATGTAAATAATTCTTTATCTCTCTTGTTTTTCACATTATTTATAGTTAAGTTCTATCACTGTATGTCAAGCACTTTGCATCAATGCTGTGGGTTGTTTTCACTTCAGAACCAATGGAGTTAGTCCTCACGAAGCTCTGTATAAAAGAGCAGTATATTTTGAATAAATCGGAGTTTTACTTTCAGCAACCTTCTAATCTAGTCAGAGTCTCTTCATTTCCATCCTTCCTCAACAGCAACAGTCTGGTGGTGTATCTGCTGAAGTGCCTCAGTCCCCTGGAATGTCCCAGGCTAGCACCTGGTGGCAAAGGATAAAGATCACTCTTAGTCGTTGCTGGTTGGTTCTGAAATTCTGCTCTGCACCCTTGAAGAATTCAGTGTATCTGGTCTTTTCACAGGCATAATTTTTCTTCTCCACAAGAACTTGAGATGTCCTGACAGGCATGCTAATGACATAATCACACATGCAATCTCCTCTTTTACTTGAGTTGGGGTCTGTAGTGAGGAAGTGGTCACTGGGTTGGTGGTCATGATCTCCCCTTGATTGAATTACCTTTCAGCTAAGGACATACTTCCTGCTGCTCTCTCTTGGCATTGTCAGCAGTTCTTACTGTTCCAGTGATTTCAATCCTGCTATATTGCCTGCTGTTGCTTTGTTTGAGAGTGTTTGAGACATTTTTTTGGAAGCGTTCATGAGGCCTTTACCCCTTCTGTCTTTGTCTACATCTGCTAAGGTTGATATACAGCTTCTTGATAAATAGTACTGTGCCTTGAGGAGTTAGTAATTGGCAACAGCATCCACGCTGTTGTTCGGGCATGTTTGCTTTTCTTTCTGTTCCCTTACGCTGATCTGCAGCATCTCACTTGTGAAGGACATTGAGTCTCAGTCTTGTCACAGCTCCTAGCTCAGCCCAGAGCTGCCTCTGCTAGCCAGTGAGTGATGGCAATAAGGTATATAGATGAGCTACCTGTCTCAGACCCTGATTAATCAGACAGGACCAGAGCAGTGTTAGCTGAGGAGGTGACCTGGCCAAAGAAACCTCCTCTGCTATTTAATCTTGGTTGCTGCTGTCTGCTTACTAAGTTCCTCATTCAGGGCACTGAGGAGGTTTGCAGTGCTGCCAAGCTACTAGCTGACCCCAAAGTCTGAGTGTGAGCTCTGTGAGAAGCTTCCTAAACCCATATGCCATCAGTAAAGGGCCTACAGCTTTGGGGCAGTGTCTCTCCATCTGCCAGGGACTGCCGAGACAGCCAGAGGCTGCCAGCTAAGCCTGTCACATTAAGGCTGTTGCAGGGGTGTGTGCGGTGTTCAGAATGAGCGGTACCTGGTGGGACACTGAGGAAATGGCACAGAGCGCTCAGAAGCTCTCTGAGCTTATTAATGCAAGGTCTGTGGTACTCGTTGCAAGTGACGGCAACGTTCTGGTGCCGGCAGGTCCATCTCGTAGGAGAATCACGCAACCACCTTTCACCTCCGGGCCTCCGGGCACATGGTCGGGGATCCACCTGCAGCGGTGATGGTGACGGCGAATGGCGCATGTCGGCCCGGGTGGGATGGCTCTAGGAGCCCAGGGTAGCGGAGAGACACTTGAGCACCTTGCTGTGTTTGCCGAGGGGCTCTCTCCTGCCATGGCACCAGGACAAACCCTCGCTGGCCACGGGAGGTTGCGCCCAGGGGCCGGGCACAGCCGCGGAGCTGATGGCCCCGGGCAGGCTCCTCGGAGCTCCACGGGGCAAGCGACAGCGCCCGGTGCCCGCCGGCACCTCCCGGCCGCGGGGCGCGGCGCGGGGGCGGGCCGGGGCGCGGCGCGGGGGCGGGCCGGGGCGGGGACGGCGGGCGGGCCGGGCCGGGCTGGCGCGGCGCGGCTCCCGTGCGCACGTCCAGAGCCCCGTCGCCAGCGGCAAGGTACGAGAGCGCGGGCAGCGGTGCGGGGCGTGGGGCCGGGACACGCGCGGGCAGGGCCGGCTCGGGCACCTGTCGCAGCCGGGGCCCGCGGAGCCCGGCGGTGCCGGGGAGCGGGGCGGGGAAGCTGCTCTGCCCGCTTCGCGCCGGGGGTGCCGCAGCTCCCTCCGGCCCCACCCCGCTTTGTGCGGAGCTGGGGCCGCCGCCGCGGCCGCCGGGGCACGGCCGGCCGGAGGATGCCTTGGCCGCCCGGTGCCCGGGCCTCGGGCATTCCCCGCGCCTGCGGGGGGAGCGGGGCGTTCCCGCTGGCCGCGGTCCGGGCAGCCGATGCTGGTCGTGCCCTCGGCGGGCAAGAGTCTCTCGCTCGCCGGTAGCGTCAGGGCTATTCCTGCAGGAATCTGCCGGCGGGATTTTCTGCGCGGGGTGTGGCGGACTGGCAGCTGGCCCGCGGTGAGAGCCCTCCGACCCGGGGTCTGCAGGCGGAGTTGCGTGGAGCAACAGGGCTTCTTGTCAACCCGAGCCATCCTGCTGCCTAGTCGGGAAGGCTGCGTCTCCTGTCAGCCCTGCTGGTTAGTCCCGCCGGTGGCACGATTTCCCATCTGAATAACTTCGCTTATATAGAAGCCTCACCTATGGCTGTGTGTGCGACGGGTTAAATTTGGCCTTTTTTGCTGGAGTTGTGGGGAATTCGGGTGCTTGATGTCAGGGTAGGTTACATCTTGCACAGAGCGTGATGACAGCCACTTCAGTGTCTCTCTGGCACCGGGATCCCCTGGTAACACTTCCCCCTGAAGGAGGAACTGGCACCCTGAATATTTTTAGGCAACACAGCTTTGAAGACTGCTTCTTCCGTGGGTCTGGCTTTGATGCCGCAGCTCTGTCAAAGGTCAAGACAGGCTGATGCAAAGGAATGTGTAACAGACAGCACTTTGCAGACCGACGGCCCGGTGAAGCCAGCTATGTGCACTGGCCTCACCGGGCCAGTGAACACTTTGCAGGGAGTGGTGCTCTCCTTGTAGTGCTCTGGAGCATCCTGTCTGTTCCTGATTCCCACGCCACCCTGCCCCAGCCCTTTTCATTTATACTTTCTAAGAAGACACTGTGCTGCAGTCCTTGTAAAGGGTACTTACCTGGACAGGCTTAACATCTTTTGGCCCCTTGGATGCTCAAGGGAAGTGATTTCTGCAGAGGATTTAGGGAACATTTGGGAGAAGGCTGACTGATGGTTGCCTTTAAGCTTCTCCAGTGCAGGCTTCCCAGTGGATTAACAAAGGAGCAGCCTGTGTAGCCCTGCCGTTCCCTTTGTTCTTCCTCTGGCTAGCTGTGCCCTCTTTGGAGAGCTCTAATCTCTCCTGGTTTGATCAGAGATAGGGAGTGACTGATGGAGACACAATGGAGTTCATGTTTTGGTTGTGAGCATTTCAGGAAGCTCTAGAGCTTTTGGAGGCAGAATAGGGAAGAGCTGGTTGCTTTTTAGAGACAGGAAAAATATAGGTGTTTTTATCTGTGCTGCTATTGTTTGGTGAATTAGCATTATGACATCTATTATTATAGCTTCGATGAGCTGTATTTCAGATTCATACAATCTGTTACTCTGTAGCAACGAATCACAGCCCATTATCTCAGTAGAGTTGCCTTAGACTGGAAACTTGAGACCCAGGTACTGGTGATGTTTGGACAAACAACCAGACAATTCTGCTTCCTGCACTCCCAACTCTGCCCTAATCTCCTCCTGGTCCCTCTTCCTCTGAGGCAAAGCACCTAAGCATGACTTTGCCTATTTTGCAAGTCCAGGGGTAAGGGAAACCACTGTGCCCTGTGTGGCAGCTGCACCTGCCTGACCAGCAGCACTGATCACCTCCATTCCATTGATCCAACTGGCTCCTGGCTGTGTCTGTGCAGGAGGTGGATTTCCTGGTAGAGTTCAGGGTATCTCTGCATGTTGTATATTTCTCATTCTCCTTTTCGTCCTGGGTAATTTCTGCTTGTCTTTCAAGTATGTTGGTTTGTCCCTTCTGAGAAAATTTCTCACTCTGCAAATGCCAGTAATGGATAATATTTTCATGTTTCTGTGTCTGCTCCATTTGTTAGTAGCTGGATAATGAGTGGATTTTCTGTTGCCTAGGTCTGTGAGTCTCTTTCTAGGTGGGTTGGCACCGGGCAGGCTGCTGACTCTGGAACAGGTTTATGGTGCCTCTGCAAGGGCAATTCTCTCTTGCCTGTGGGCTGTCTGGACTACCGGATACCTAAATGTGATGTGAGCTGTGTTTTGGGGATGAATAGTTGAGTACAGAGGAGGTCCCTGTGCTGTAAGCTTCAGGTGCCCAAGCACTCACTGTTAAAGAGGCTTAGGGAGAGAACTGAAAGTTTTGGTAAATCCCAGAAAAAAGGTGATGCTTTGAGTGGGAGACAGTTGCCTTGAGGCAGGCTAAGCTAGATTGTATGCATGACCTTGCAGGCTACTCATAAATTGTGGTCAGTTTGCTGCCTCTGACTTTTTAGTATTCCTTGATCCACAGTGGCTGCATAGCATGAAGTCTTCATGCTACCTTATTAGGTCCTGAGTTCCCCATCAGGGATTTTGATAGGAAAACTGTTGGGGAATAGGATGTGACAGAGTATGACAGAGACTCTGTGAAGAAACATTGTGGAGGGAAAGTGTCTCAGATCATTTCCCCACCATCCATTCTTGCCCGGTTCAAGGGGACTCAGCCGGTCCCTGACAGCCACACCCTGTTCTCCGTTCTCATAGGAAAGTTTGTTTGAAGTGTTTGCTTCAACAAAAAAGCCCCACAGAATGCCAGCACCTTATCTGAATGTTCCTGACTCCCAGCTATAAACACCAGTGATTTTACAGTTGGCCAGTGGGCTGTCTGGGTGGCTGCTGGACCTTGCTACTAAACTGCTACTCAGAGCCAAGGGCATCCCTGGTTAGGCTGGACAGCAGCTGTGCTTTGAAAGAATTGTTTCTGGCCATCTCTTGATGTGCAGCAGGAGCACAGACAGTCTGGTCTCTTGCTCCTGTGGCAAGAAGGCACCAGAGTGATGGTGTGGTGAGCTGTTTCACACGTAGTCATTACATGGCTTCCTGTAAGTGCATGTTTTTAAGCTGCTCTGGCTGCAGTGCTGACTGAGGCAAGCCTGCAGCACACTGCAATTATGCTGACGCTCCTCCTGCCTCTCCTGAGGAGAAACAGGAAAGACCTTTACATCATCAACGCGGCTGTATTGGCTGAGAGATTTTGATACTCGTAGGGTTATACTGGCTTGTAAGTAGAAGCTAGACTGGCCTAATATTTCCAGGGATTTCCCCTCTGTGGTATTACAGGCTTGCCAGCAATTCCTCATTTTGAAAATACACCCTGCAGGGCTCTATTAGTGCAATGCTGATGCTTATTATTTCTAAAGCACTTTGGAATTCACAAATAGGACTTTCTGACCCTCAGCCAAGCAAAATCCTTTCTAAAGCTTGGAGACATACCACTGCCAAGAGTAGGACCAATGATAGTGTGCAGCTCCAAGCCCTGTTCTCTCTTCCCTTGTTGACCTATTCCCTGCTCTGCTTCACTCAGTTTCAAATTTTCTGGAGCAGTGCCCAAAGTTTGGTGTCTCTCTCACTCTTTCTTCTGAGCATCCTTCAGGGCTCTGATTTGTTGAAGAGTTTTCTTCCAGTCTGGTGAATAACCTGCTCTTTATCTCTGTGCCAAGAAACATGGACCTACCTGCAGAGAGTGCAGATGACTGCACTGCCTCTCTCCCTCTGTGGGACGAAGTCACCTAGGAAAATGATAAGGAAGACAAAGTAGAAGAAAATCCCAGCAGTTGTGGTATTTTATATACCTGAGATTTTATATACCTGAGATTAAGACAAAGTTCATGAAAGTTGATAAGATAGCTTCCAGGAAAGCAGCAGAGGCCAAACTCCATCTTTTTCTTCCTTCTGCAGTTCTGGTAGCTGTGCAGGAGAGGAGGCAATGCTGGGGGAGAGCTCCTCCCAGAAAAAGGTGACTGGGCAAGGCTATCCATGTCAGAGTTGCATTAATACAGGAAATAAGAACCTTGTGGCTTGAGCTTGTACATAAAGTTGAGCAGGGACAGTCAGAAAAAAAAGGTGCAGGGAGTGGCCAAGGCAAATACTGGGTTTACTCCCAAGAGCTGAAATTAATCAGTCCTTGCTCTACAAATACCATGATTTAAGCTTGCCTTCTAGACCATATGTTAAAAGGGCTGAACTCCTCCTTGGTAAAGTCTGAAATTTCTGGATCTCATCTCAGGTTTTCTGGGAATCAATGTAGGATGCATGAGAAGTGCTTGGTGTACAAGTCCCTTTTTCTCAGACGTGGCTCACTCTGTGGGCTGGGATATGGACTGATACAGCAGGCAAAAAAGAACAAAGGTCTGGGAGCAGCAGATCTCTCTCCATACTGTCCTACTCCAGCCTCACCTGGATCTTGCTTAGCCATGGAGTGTTAGCATGTAGGACGTTTGCCAGTCTGCCAAAAGGGCTGTCCCTGAATGCCCCCCAGTGTCACACCATTGATCTGTGCTGAATCCTGTTGCACCACAGCTACTCTGTGCAGTTTTGTTTTCTGAGCTGCAGCAAATTTGACTTGCCAGTGCTATTCAGCTCTCAGCCACCTTTCACATGGTTACACTGAGGTTATTCAAACCAGTTATTTAACTAGTGTTTCACAGTGTTTTCCCTAACCAAGAACACACAAATCTTGAAAAATACAAACAATATTGCCTTAGAAGAGCATAGCTACCATTTTGCCTGAATTGCTGGCACAGTTGCAGTGCTTGTTTCTAGGAAGCCTAACACTGAGGTTTTTAGGAACACCACCTGTAATGTGAATGATGCCAGGAAAGACCAATCTTCCTTGTCGCCCTTGGTTTCTTCTGTTCTGTCTCCTCCATAAAAGGATCCTGTGTTGGCAACAAAATTGTAGGGTAATAGGCACAGAGAATCCAGACAGCTCTTTAATTGCAAGAGAGAAGTAGAA